ATGAAAACAAAATAAAGCCCGACCTCAAACACTTTCGACAACGGAAATCTCCATAATGGCTCTAAAATTAATTTCCAACACTGACAACAAATTGTAATTAAAAAAATGGTGTAGATCTTGTGGATCTAGGACCACTTATTTTTAAGACAAAATAGACGGTCTAGATGATTTGTTACAATAGACACTATTTTTAGAGTTTGAGATTTTTTTTTTGAGATTTTTTTTCCCCACAACAATGATCGATATAAAAGTTTCCTAATACTGGAATTGTAATTTTTTGATGTGTTATGATGAGAGACTTTACTTATTTTGATAGGGTTGTTGCCCTATCAAACCATTTTTTAAAAAATATTTATGTTTTATCATACCTAACAAATTTTCCCCCTACTAACACCTTCAACAAACTAAGTCTTAAATTATCGGAATCGTATGCAATGAGACCATTTATCTATTGTACAAGAAGGTCACAATTGCTTATTACCATTCCATGTGAAATCTGATAGCTTGTGTGTTACAAAGTTCGAGAAAATATCTTTTGAACTTTGTCGTTTGGTCAATGAAATAAGAGTAATGATTCTATAGGACCCTCCTCCATCTATGTGTGTAGAACCCTAAGGGATCGCTTTTAAATTTGACACGGATCTCTAAAAAAATTATCACTTGGGTATGAGACTTGACTTTTCTATAGATCTGTGCCAAATTTAAAAGTGATCATTTGGAGTCCTACATACATAGGTGGGGGAGAGTCCTATAGGATCATTTCTCATAGAATAAATGCAACCACCCAATTTTATATCCAAAGGTTAAGACTAATTGTGACGACCTTTTTCAAAATATAAATTGTCTCATTGTATACTCTTCCTAAACTATTTTACGACATGGGAAGAGGCATGTCTTCCCCACTAGATTACCCAAAAACAGTTATACCCGACAAATTATCTGATGCATTCATAGATACTACAGTAAATAAAAAATGGTTTAGCAATTTCCATATTTATTCAAGAATTTTACCTAAATTCATTCCATAGAAAACATTTTTTATATTTGTTAATATTGATTGTATGTATAAAACCATTTCCTTTTAATTTACTTATAATACATGGATTATAATACATGGATGTCACAATCAAACCTACCTATCAAATGTGAATTTCAATAACCTGGGTTATGCGATGAATATTGAAATTTTCTTTTTGGACTTTAAAACAAGACGATGCATACTCAGAACCACACGGTTTGAGATCCAACGGTTGATAGTGACTATGACCTATGTGCATCAAAAATAAAAGGTCGTATCGTGTACTTTCTTTTTAATAACATAATCAAGTGAAATCCTCTAATATGTGTCATTAATAAACTCGAATTTTACATATGGTTTGTTTAAATAGTTAAAGAGTTCTAATAATGACGTTATCGTAAAGGTATATTGTAAGTATATTGTATGCATGGGCTTTAAAAAATTTGCAACACAAGTTTCTCTTAAGATTATGAAATAGAAACCTCACAACCAAAACTCAATTTTAAAACTACAAGGAAAAAAAATAGCCGCGACTTATCAATGCTCTAAAACATAAATAAATGAGACGCTTTCTATGTAAAGTTACAATTCTTCACGTAGAAAATATGAAGTAAATAATAAGTTTTCTATGAAAATATGAAATTAATAACATATAAATAATCACTTTTAGTATTTTGATATCCATAAATTTGAGAGTCCTAAAAAATCTCTTAGTTTGATTTTTATCCGGGAGCATATTGTGATTTTTTTTTTTTTTTGGCAATAAATTAGTTCATGATTTATTATTATTATATAAT